CGATATCATGGTATATGGACTAAAAGGTTTACAGATGCTTTAAAGTTTTAGGGAACAAGCAAACAAAAATACAAGGCATGTGAAGTAGGTGCTGTTTTTCATTCTCACCAGGCAGTCACAGCTGGAAACAGGGTAAGTGAATAGTATGGTAAAAATCACCTTAGCCCTATTGGACCAATAGGACTGCTTTCTCATTAGAACAACTGGTGGTGGTTCAATCTGAGGGTCACCATGCCTAAGCAAGAGGTTGAGAAGGAAAATCCTTGTGGTAACCTCAGCGAGTGTAGAAATTGAATCCACACTATTAGCTTCACATTAGTATTGCAAACCAGCCATCCAGCCAAGTGAGCTAAACCAACCCCCTAAAAATATTATGGTACACAGTATGGGGCAGAAGTGGGAGCGAGTGAGAGGTTAACAATATGACAGTAAAACTGGAGCACCAGGAATTAAGTATTTTAACTTAAACTGTGCTCTGTATTAGGATTTACTTGGGGTTTAAGTAAAAACTTAAATGAAAATGTTCTAGTTTGGACATATTTTTGAATCTGATCTTCTTCATTTCAATAGCATGGAAAACTGAAAATCTTTATAAGCTCAAAATATGCACTTCTGGGTCAGTGAACTTCCAACTGTTTTGCAATATTTATTGGGCCATATCTTTAACACCCCAGCTTCACTTTACAAATTTAAAAATTGCATAAAACTTCTTTCAATATGGTCCAAAAACAACCCTCATTAAAAACTGACTCATTACAGTATTTCAGTTCTCAAATACCAAGTGCTTGAGAGAATTATTTAAATCTTGTACATACTGCAAATTCAGAAAACAAACTGCAACAAAAACAGAAGTTGCTGGAAAAGCTCAGCAGGTCTGGCACCATGTGAAGAAAAGGTCAGAGTTGATGATTTGGATCTGGTGATCCTTCCTGAGAACTGGTTTCAGAAAACAAACTGTCTTTTTCTTAGTTTGAAGCCTAAGTTTTGAGTACTCATTAGCAAACCTTCAGTAATTTACATAAAATTTTACATTAACCCATATTAACCCAAAGGCAATTAACAAGTTCATAATTACTTGAGCAATGTATGGTTGTTAACTCTCCTAAAATCTACTCATTCAACAACCTTTTTCTCTGAATAAATCCACCAAGATTTTAACAGCCCACTAAAAAACAAAAACTTAAACTACTAAAAGAAAATAAAAGTTAATATTCAGAATAGACCCTTCTTCGCATTAAAAAAGTTGCATTTCTCCACTATGCCATGTTGCCCTCATGACTACTCCTCAGCTGCTCCACAACCCAAACCAATTCATACAAGTTAATAGACTGAGGTGAATTGGTCTCAGAAGAATCAGGAAAAGATTATGTCGGAAATAACTGTACAGTAATGAACTCTAATGGCATAAGCACACATACACATACAACAGCAAAAACAACAACTTGTAATTTTATGGCACCTTTAGCAGAATAAAATGCCCCAAGACACTTCAAAGGCATTATGAAACAAATGATGATACTAAAATACATACGGACTTATTGAGGAAAATCACCAAAACCTTGGTTAAAACAGCCTGTCCGTGGAAAAAAGCAAGATAGAGCTGCAAAGTAGTTTAGGGAGGAAATTCCACCACTCAGGGTATAGACAGCTAAAGTCATGGTCACCAATAGTGGAGCAATTAAAACTGAGGACGCACTAAAGACCAAAATTTGAGAAACGCAGGTACTCAGAAGGTTATGGGCTGGAAGAGATTTCAGTCATTTGGCAGAGTTAGGCCAAGACATTTCAAAATAGGAGAATTTTAAAATTGCTGCATTTTTCAAGTGGAAGCCAATGTTGGTCACTGACCATAGGGATCATGAATGAACAGGAGTTAGTATGAGTTAAGAGAGAGGCAGCGGAATTTTGGATGACCTGAAGCATACAGAGGTAAGATGTCAGATCAGCCAGATATGCACTAGAATAGTCAAACTTAGAAATAACAAAGGCACGGATGAGGTTTATAAACAGATGAGCTGAGACACAGACAGATGGAGGATTCATATTACTCAGGGAAGATTCAAACATTTTAACTTTTAGTCCCTGAACAGATGCACATTTGGACAAAAACAAGTCCCCAGAATAGATCCAAAATTTATTAACTAAAGTCCAATGTTGCAAGAGTTTAGTCATGACATATGTAAAGACAGTTTATTGAATTGTCAATAAACACCATACAAAAATACAATGGTATATAAACTTCATCACATTCACTGCAACACATTACTTGGCAAAATCCTCAAGTATGCTTAAAAAGTTTAATATACAAACATTTTCATGGCTGATCTAATTGCAACATTAAATCCGCATTCATGTCTACCTAATAACTTTTCATTCCATTGGTTAAGAAGAATCTACCTCTACTACAAAACCATTCAAATAATCTGCATCCACCACCTTTTCAGAAACAGGGCTCCAAAAACTCACACTGAAAGAAACAAAGTTGCGTCTTCTCGTTTAAACAAGTCATACCCAACAGCAACACTTGTTTCAGTCTTCCACAAAGGAAGCATCTCCTCACCTACACTGTCAAGACCCCTAAGGACCAGGTCATATTTTACTCTTCTAAACTCCAGAGGATACAAGCCTAATCTGTCCAACCTTTGCTTAAGGCAACCTACCTATTCTAAGTATTGACTTAGCAAACCTTCTCTAAACTGCCTCCAAAGTATTTGTATCCTTCTATAAATAGTGACCAAAACCGTGCACAAAACTCACCATAGGAAACCTGTCCATACTACATTCGGCATTTTAGTGAGATTGACATGGTTGCAGAAGCAACATTCAGGCCCAAATTTCAAAAATGAAATGTAACCATAGTCACACTAAGTTCAAGATACACAAAATCTATAATGTGATTGAAATTATAATAGAGTGTTTGGAGCACTGAAATAGAAGCTATACTGACCAAATATAGTGTGTTCATTTGTGGCTGTCTCCATAACGATACTTGTTCATTTCAATTTACTGCAAAGATTTATATGGGTTATAAAATATTATAACTGAAGTCTTCCACATGAAACATGACAACGAACTTTTATAAAAGTGTATCTTCCCCCAAAGTCGCACTTTTAATTCGCAACATATAACCAATCGAAATTGTTCTTCAAAAGTACTTAAAAAGACAAGGAAGAACTAATAAGATAAACAGCATTTTACAGAGATCAGTAAATATACATTGCCTAAATGATAATAGCAAATTATGTAATTGTTAACAGAGAAAAATATTTGCCTGAATAATTGCTTTTTTTTTTAAATACTGACCTTTTACTTTTACATAGCCAAAGGCAAGAGCTGGTATTTTAGTTTTAAGAAGGTTAGAATAGACACTAGCTAAAGTTGACGTTACAACAAAAGTTCCAACGCACCTAATCTTTAAATTCTCTTATTTCCTTATGAAACAGTCAGAATAATTTTTTTCCCACTGTGTATTACTTTTGCTTTCACTAGGTGCGATGACAGCTGTGACTGTACCCCTATTTTTATGACAAATCCTCTAGGGTATGACCTCATTGATAATACGGCTTCAATCTCACGACAAGGGAAGCCAGAAGGCATTTCACAATAGAAAGTGTAAGCAGTTTGCTCTAGTTTAAGTGTAAATTAATCCAATGCATTTTGGCCCGTGGAGAAGTGGTAGGCAGATGGGAGTTGACAATGCTATGCTGTGACCTTTGGCTCCATGCTACCTCATTTTGGCGGGTGTTCCCTCAAGCAGCAATGTCAATGATAGACCTAGCTGTCATTTCGCAAAATCTCTATTTTTAAACACTACATGTGAATGTCTCAATTTATGACTGCATCACAGTCAAATTCTCTGAAGATGATAATCCAAAAACTAATTGGGAAAAGTCGGTGCGCACTTATATTTTTAAAATATATTTACTGTTTATGAGAAGAATTAGTAAACTTTTTGGAAGTAACTTACAGCAAAACTTAAATGGTGTACAATCTACTTTAGAACACTGCATAATATGAAACTGCATGAACCAAAGAAAAATTCCATTATACCAATGTTTTCAGTGATACTGAATAAAAAACAAAAGAACTGCGGATGCTGGAAATCAGAAACAAAAATAAATTACTGGAAAACTCAGCAAGTCTGGCAGCATCTTTGGAAGGAAATCAGAGTTAACATTTTGGCTCTAGTGACCCTTCCTTAGATCTGATGGTAGTTAGGAATAAGTTGTTTTTTTATGCAGAAGATTGGGGGGTGGGGGGGAGGGAGTAAGGAGTAAACAATAGGTGGAGATCGAGCCCAAAGAGAGAGAGAAGAACAGTTGGACTGACAAAGGAGTGGATAACGATCAGCGTAGGAGAACGAATAGTTTATAATGGGCACTATTACTGCGTAGTAGCAGACCATGTGATAACAAGGCCTGGTGTGTGGGGCTTGAGGTAAGGACATGGGAGAAGGTGCCTAAAACTGTTCAACGGGATATTGAATCGAGAAGGCTGTACAGTTCTCAAGTGGAAATTGAGGTGCTGTTCATTCTCAACCCCACACACTAGGCTTTTTTGTCACATGGATTGCTATTACACACAATCCATTGTTGGTGACTAATAGTTCCTGACTTTCCGTTCTTGCTCACTCTGCAGTCACTCCCGCTGAGAGAACATATCAACTTGGGATAGAATTCTAAAACGATGACTGATCTCAGGACCACGACGCTTTTGAAAATTGTCTAATTTCTGAACAGGTAATTTTACTAGCAAGTTACTAATGGTGAAGAACAAGGACTCTTGCTTTGCTTTATTAAAAGAGATCATTCAACTCTTGATTTCTGCACCTCACTAATGGTATGTGAATGATCATGAAAAAAAAGTCAGCAATCCAAACATCCAATTATTAGATGTGAAAAGTTGAACAGAATAATCTTGTTCCTACTTATTATGTTGTGCTCTGATCTAAATGCACACTTTTATTCATGTGATAAAAAGTGAATTGGAATTTAGCTTACCTGCACTTCTAATATTGGGATCCAGGTCTGGCATCTCTTTAGCAGCCTCTGGGCTCACACTGTATATGGATGCTCCAGCCTCATTGGTAATACTGCAAAAGTTCAAAAATCATTTTAAAAAATAAATCGGATGATTTAATATTCTAAACTTGAGAGCTAGGAACAAAAGATACTGATATTATTCACTCTTACTAACTCAGAGTGGTGGTATTATTGATGCACCTATTTTGGGATAATTGTTACTGCCAGATCAAGTGCAACAGTATTCACTTTACTGCTCAGTTTAGAACAGATATTAATTAGAGATGTTTACTTTCTTCTTCCTCTCTGCAACTAATGAAGGATTACTTGTGTGGCTCGATCAGAGGCCAGCTGAGAGCAATCTTCGATATTGTATGGAGGTGCCGCTATTTCAGTTGATAAATGCAGTTGGTAATCAGGTAGTGAACTAGATGGGCCAGGCTGGGCCTAGCACTCTCCACATGCGCACCACCTGACCAAAGGGATGTCCACCATGAATCAGCAACTTTATGAAGGTGCAAGGCACATTGGAGAGAAGCTGTTGCAATAAATCATTGTCCATCTTTGTGTGCCAGTGAATGGATCACACTAATATTTTAAAATATAATTCACTGTAAACAGGCAAATAATCTGAGGTAACACAAAGGCATAAAAAACCCCACAAAAATTTATTAATTTATTTCACCACAACTCTAACATTTTAAATAGCTAAATGCCATTTGCAACAAAAGATGAAAAAAGGTCTTGAATATATCCATCTTCAGATCTAATTCCAATAGAAAACATTTCACCATTCTCTTTGTCCTTTAGGTAAATAGTGGCAGACGGGTGAAAGCAATATTTAAATTAACTCGTTTATTAATTATCATATAACTCTTAAATACCAAGTTTACAGAGCTGAGAAATTGTACATAGGAAAACTGTAACATTGTTGCCACCTGGAGGCCATTTGTGTCCCAATCCACCTCAGTGCCAGTAAATTGGTTAATTTGAATCATCTAGAAAGTTAATTTATATTGGAGTCATCTAGTTCTATGCAATTATTACTGATTTTAACATTCATTTTTTTAAACTTTCTATTGCAAGCAGTGATTAGAAGTGAAATAAATGGAAAATATCATATTAACCCTCCAAATAAAAACCTCTTTAATAGCAAGCTACAATACAATAAAATTAATTCTGATGGCTTTCATTTTCATGTTCAGAAATTCAGTTCAGAAACAATATTCTTAATAGTTCAAGAATTTAATCAAAATACTGTTAGACTTCCCATTGTTCCTGTCCCCTATGTTTATGTTATTCCGCAGTGATTTCAGCACATCTTATCCCATATTACTGTATTGAACCTGTTCACACCTTGGGAAACAGAATTCAGGGGAATAAAATGGGACAGTGGCGCCTTAATCACAATTTAGCACTCTCCTGCCCAGTTGCCTGAAACAAACAAGGCAGATGGAAAAGTAATCAAATCAGTTAGTTTTAAGCAAAAGAGCTTGAAAAACATAAGCAAGATGGAAGATGGTTAATAAGATTTGTGTTAATTATCTCCAGAAACTAAACAATCAGCAATTTGTTTTCTTGTTTAATAAATCCAAAATAACTCTCACCAATTATGTTCCATTAAGAAAGAATATACTTAAGACAGATTTTTGATCCACAAGGGAGTCAACAGTTATGGAAGGGCAACAGGCAGAAAAGTGGGATTAAGGCCACAATCAAATCAGACATGATCTTACTGACTGGCGAGCAGGTTCAAAATGTTGAAATGGGCCAGTCCTGCTGATATTTTTTTATAATTTTATGATTGAGCCCAGGGAATTCAAACACACTACTGTACACATACAACTGATGCGAAATAAATCAGCTAAACAATTCTCATCAAGCCTCATCCATTAAATGATAACTGTCAATTTCAGAGAGACTGAAGTAGAATATGGGTGAAAAACACAAATTTCTTTCTGGATTACAAGGATGTTATAGCTATATCCTGGGCCTACTATGTCATGGCAAAGACACAGCAATCAGAATCAACTCATATAAATGACAGACACTCAGACCACTTATGGCAGCAGCTGAATCGTGAAGATATCTACAGAGTCACAGCAAGCTAAAGCCTGTACTTGAAAGTGGGAATGCACCGTACACCTTATGTTACCACTTTCACATTGGTATTTCATCTATGAAGCAGCATTAGCAGAGTTTTTGCAAAAAGACTAGCAATCTGGAATCAGCAATCACCTATTACCTTTGCGGTCAGGACATAAAAGTCACCTGGACGGCAATTTGCAAGTATAGGTTGCTGAAACAAAATCTTCTGATGCCTACATCTGAAAAGTCAGTTGGAGACAAAATAAATTGTTTGGCAAACTGCAATGGAGAACAGGTGATTCCTGATTCCTAACTGGAGGTGATGACAGAACTCCTCTGACACAATACAGTCGCTCATAAGCATACAACAGTTATTCCTCAATTCTGATGGCAAATCTGGTCACACCCAAGATTAAGCTGAAATGACCCTGTTGGAACCGATTCCCTCCAAACAAAAACAGCACACAACTCTCATGTCAAACTAGTTAATGATATTTGTTTTTAAAACACCCACTTCCAGCAAAACAGGTTCTTAATGTCTCCTGCAGCACAGCATATATCATGCAACCACTGATAAATATCTAAAATTAGGTAATTTGAATTTTAGTTAATAGTTAAATCTATAATCCAAGGACAACAAATAGTTGTCAGCTACTGCTGTTCAATAAAAGCTAAAACCCTCAAAAACGTCTTTAATACCTGTTTCTGAAAGGCCACTTGAATCATTCCTATGTTGGCTTTTTAACTTTCTATATTAGAAATGCACAAAAATTAAGTTGCACTTTATGAATTACAAAGTAAATTAACTCTGTTAGCTTTTTAAACTTTGACATATTCAAAGGAATAAACTTGGACTTGAGACCACTTTCTGTTTATATAGGACATTATTCCTTTTCATTTCTGACTCCAGATAGTCAGATAAATTGAAAGATCCATATAATAAATTGCTAGTTAACTCCAAAGTATCAATTTTTTTAAAATTTAATATGTAATACTTTATGAGATTTAACCCAATGTTATTACTAAAATCTTTCTCAAATTGTCTTTACAAGTAATTACTGTTAGTGACGACGACTCTGTACTAGCACTGCACAACAGCACGCACAAATGGCAAAATCTCACTTTGCTCTGGTCTTCTTACTTTACCAAATTGCTGAATCCAATCTAGAAATATAAAAATCAGACAACTCATAATTATTGTTCACATTACATTTTAAGTTCTTAGAACATGGTTTGGCGGGGAAGGGGAAGAGAAAGTAAAAGGGAAACTAAAGACCCAACATAATACATTTTAAATTTTCAAGATTTCTGAACATGAATTGGGATAAACATATACAACTTTGAACTAGGTGATTTATTATAATTAATTTCAATTTAAATGAAACCTCTGATGAAATCAAAACTCCAGAAGTATGAACATTCAAGTGACACTATCTACCAATGCTTGTTTTAGATACTTAATAAAGCACGCAGTTGAAAATGTTTACTCCAGCATTTTCTCCCCGCTTTTGTTCTCATTTTTGTAATATTATTTTTGACTGCATTCATTACCAGTGATCATGCAAGTGCAGATATAGCTTGGAAGTCACCCGTTTCAGGGCTGTTCTGGGTCCACAGACTGAGCACAACAATGGCTGCTCAGAGTGGTTGCAATTGAGGCCTTTTTTCTGGGATGTACGGAGGAGTTGAACCATATCTCCATGAAATGCTTAACTTCTCTTTGGGACAACAAAATAAAGTTTGAACTGGTCAATGTGCAGAGCCTGGGGTGAAAGTGATCAGCCTCAGGTGCAGGAGCTCAAAGCTGATGCTCACCATGTGTACGAAAGTGGAGGGACCCCCAACACACCCTGGTGAAGAAGTCTCTGTCACTGTGCCCTAACGTCACTGACACCATCAGTGCTTCCACAGGTAGCAGTGGCCAACTTGGAGTTGGCAACACACCATCTTTTGTTTTTTTTTTTAAATGATTTCCAAATAATTTAATTCAACATGCAAACTGCATAATCCTTCTAAAAATGTACAAAAATATGTTGTACATCAGGGGTAGAATTTAACAATCATCTACAGTGAACTAATTCTCAATAGTCTTCACCGTAAACATTGAATCTGTCTTATTTAACGAACAGACCTCCACTGACATTCACTTGAGCAAGCACAGGGTCAAGAACATCATCGTCAAGTCCAGCTCAGAATGAAAAAGTTGAATGGAGGCAACACAAAAACTTCAATCTGTAAAAGGACTTAGCAAATAAATTTCAGATGCATCAAGTCTGAATTGAAGTAACACCTGAACTTAGAGTTTTGATCAATACACATTACTATATTACTTTCCTTAATTGACATCAGACCATTCAATTAAAAGTTTTGGAAATAAAAATGAAAAGACATCAACTTTGCAAATTTAATTGCAATTTTTGGTGTAAAAATATGCATAACAAATAACAATGTTTCAGCCTCAAGTTATACAGGTTACGTTAGAATAAATATCATTTGAACCAACGGACTGAATTTTGGGGTTACCTTGTTCCCTCAACTCCTCGAATAAAATAAGTCAGTACAGAGTACAGACTTGTGGAGTCAAGTCCAGAGAAAAAAATAATGAC